CATATTGAATTCCTTTCCGAAGTTAATCTTTTCCTTAGTAGAAAAAAAAATTATCATTGAATTGATTAATATGTAAAGCACATGTTTACATTTAATCATTGATTTTGGTATTGAATATAATATGTGATAATGATGCATGATAATTAAATATTTGCGCAAATCATTATGGTCCTTTTCAATTCCTCCTGTAATCCCTTTCCTACATTTGATAAACTCTCTCATTATGCTCTTGTTTTTATTTCTTGATTAATAGCTCCATTTGTTCGATTGGAATTTTCATATTTTTGAATTGTAATTGTATATACTAGTTGTGACATCATTTCATTTCGGATTATCGTAGAAGTTATTGAAGTAGCGATGAAAGAGTGCAGAACGGCGATGCGACATTTCAGCATTGTCACCGACCAATTCCGAAATTCGCTTTATGATATAAGGAATATTCTTAATCTAATTCTTCAGTTTTACTGGATAAATTTCAGGAAATTTTATACTATTCACTCAACTTATGATCATTAATAAAATTTTCCCTCATTGTACGTTGTTATAATAACAGTGAAATAAGGTCCGACTATAAAAGAATTCAAATAATTTTTTTCTTTCAGTGAAGTATATATAATTTAATGAAAAAATAAAAGTAGAACTTACCACTAAATGAGACTCGAGCTACATCTATCACTTCCGTTAGCTTGAACTTGCCAAAATGGAGTATCTCTGTAACAAAATTCATTTTAAATTTCCGTCAGACGATCGAAATCATAAGACGCTAGCTAGAAAGAATAAAATCAGCTGAATTTAAATCCTCTCATTTCCTAACTGGAAAATTCCATCGAAAAAAGCGGAAATAGGATTGCTCCCTTCATTACAATTACATTAAAATGCTTTTAGTATAAACTATTAAATTCGGTAATTATTTCTGCGTAAATCATGAAAATTTGCGCGACATTTGTTTACCGAATGAAAAGAAATTATTTCAAATACTCTCTCTGCTCTGATCGACCTTATAAAACAAACATTTAGCATAGCTTTTACTAGTCTATGTAAACATGAAAAAAAAAAAAATGAAAGTATTAAAAGTAAACTTTTTGAATTTTTCTTTAAAAACCAGTTTGTCATTAGTCGACACATTCAATTTTTAGATCCAATATTTAACTTTCCAGTTAACTCTTCCTTTTTTTTAACTTCATTTTTTGATAGAGCGAATAAGTTTATAAAGTTACTCAATTCTAAAAGGTGCTTTATCATTTTTTCGCAAAACTCTGAATTTTAGAAGAATTGAAGATAATAATAATAACGCTTTTGACTTTTCTTTTTGTCACTTTTTTTGCATTACATTATCATTTTTTTTTAAAAAATATGGAGTACAGCGATTGTTTGACAAAAAATATTCTTCCACTTTTTTTTTTTTTTTCTAAATTTTCCTCTGTTTAAGCATTATGCTTTAAATGTAACTATTCGTTTCAAATCAAAATCAAAATGTAACTATTCGTTTCAAATCAAAATCAAAATGTAACTATTCGTTGTAACTATTCGAAATGTAACTATTCGTCAAAATCAAAATGTTTGCTTAGATGTGACTTATAAATCATCCATCACTTTTCCTTTCTATACAAATAATATATATATCTTACAAGATTTTCATAAAAAGGAATAATGCACAATTTATTTAACAATCAATTTCTAAAGAATTAAACAATCAATGCCTCTTTAAATATTCAAATAACTCTAAAATATTTTTAGCAATTATTGAACACTCTATATAGCTTGAATATATAAATCTTAATAATAAAAAAAAATTCTTTATATGATAAGATTGCTGAAAAAGAAGACTAAAAGCTTGCTAAAAGGGCTTTTCAGCATTGCTGCTGCAATTGGGTTATGATGAAGAATATTGCGCTGACCACGAAAATTCCAAATAGCAGCCGAATTCTCATAAACGGAGGAAAAAGAAAAAATTAGTAGATGGAGAGAAAATGTTATTTGGGTGACCCCAGAGGAATTGCAGTAAGCAACATCTTTCATAATTCTTAACTTTTTTAAAAAATATCCCATATGTTGTGTGTTAATCCATTGCTGGTAATAACGATTATGCAAAAAATATAATTTTGATATTATAAACTTTTCTATGAACACACGTCGTTCCTATAAAAGTTCGAAATGTTTGTTTAAACAAAAAAAAAAAAAAATATAATTTTATAGGTCATTTTGATTTTGACTGCAACAAATGTCGACTGACGACCATAGGAAAAACTCTTTTGCTATTCATCCTGTACTTATCCCAACATTCCGGTAAACAGTCTACGAGCTTATCTCAAGACTACAAGACTAAATCATTTTCATGTTGCACTTCAAAATTGTCTAAAAATTCAAGACTGTTCTGCTGCTTCTAATGAAAATCATTGAAAAGCAAGAACAGATTGATTTGTTAGATCATTGCTTGTTTATTCATAAAGTGGTTGTACATCAAATAAGATGATGCTACGACCTCTGAACTCTCAGGATATTAGCACAACTGATTTGTTTAATTCATTTTGCAGTGAGACTTTCACTCAGACTTCCAAAAACACATCTGAGCGGAGTTCGTGAACATCTAACATTTAATTATCACACATTACCGTAAAATTTCCAAATCAAGCATTGTGAGGAGAATTGTTTAAATTAAAAACAAATTTAAATAAATAGAAAACATCTTAAATAAATAAAAACATCGATCGAGCTTGGGAAAATAAGACTTCTTGGGAAATTGAGACTTTGTTAGAAGAAAAAGTTGTTGGACGAATGGAGTAAAGTTTGCACACCGAGTCTTTTTAGTAGGCAAATTTCGATCAAATTATCAAGCAAATTAAATCAAAGTCTTTCACTAGCCTGATATTTTTCATTTTGGTTCTCATCTTCTCTTACTTTACTTTCTCGTCAATTTTTTTCTTTTTTGGTTTTGATATTTCTAATACTTACAAAATGTACATATACTTACATCCGCACGGTTTGAGAGTCTACCGTAATGTTGTTAATTTGAAAGGCAATAATCTTGAACTGTGATTATTTGGAAATTGGAACATATAACTTTGTTATGTATGGAAAAGTTTTTTTTTTTTTTTTGAAAAAATAAACAACATTACGGTAGAACAGTTCAGTTGTCAACTTTTCCATTCATTAGATAGATTTCAATTTTGGAATTGCAGAGATCAGCAAAATTAGAAAGCTACCAAAAATGTCAGTAGTGAAAGAACAGCTGAATCAAAATACTTCGTTGAATCAAAATGTGGAATCAGTTTTTTTTTTTTTTTTTTTTACAGTATGAAAAGTCGTAAATTCCAGTGAGTCTTTCTCAGTCTTTTACAATATACTTCACGAATTTTATGAATTGAAATCAGTGTATCAAACCATAAAATTAATTGCTTATTTGCTTTGCTATAAAGAATTATCAAGTAAAAGCATAAATATGGTGGTAATCCATTGTGTACGGTTTTCAATATTACAAATGAAAAGTTATCATTTATGAATTAGATAGGAAAAGGTATTGAGTATTGGTTGATGTGAGAGTTAAAAGTGTCACAAATGGAATATTAAGAAGAGATTGACAAAAGAAAAAAAAAAAAAGAAAGAAACAAAAAGTTTTTTAATATATGAGTAAATTACAAACAGTGTGAGAAAGGAAAGAGAAGCAAAAATGAGTGAAAAGAGAAAAACGATTTATTTCAAATCAAAACTAAACAATTTGTTGGCTCATTTATTTATGCTTAATTGCTAATGAAATAGCAATTCATAGATAATTTACTATGCAACTTACCGATTAAATACTTTAAAATGCCAGTACTATGTTTATTTTGTCTTAAAAGTTTTCCTTACACAACAATGAATAATTTAAATCAGTTCGAAATAATTCATTTCTCTTTTCTCACTGTCACAACAAATCTGTTAATATCCATCATTTATAGCAAGAGAAAGAGAAAAAAAAAATACTGTTTGGATATTATAGTTTGTCATTCTAAAAATTTTTATTACAGCAAAATTGTATGGCTTTTAAATGTTATTTTTGATCAACAAATAGTGTAAAATAAGGTAAGTATTCTCTTGACTAAAGTAGGAACCTAAGTAAACAGGCTTTTCCTAGGGTTGTAAACTGATAGCGGAATCTTGTAATAATTTTTATATTTTTACATCTCTCTAACTGAAAATGATGAATACACAGATAATTACTACTTTCATTTGTTGTTGTTTCAAAATTTGCAATGAAAAGACGACTTTTTCATCACCCATTTTATTTATTGTGAATACATAAAATATGAAATAAACATCTGCATAAATAATACTAATTAAATCTTAGTTTAAGATAGTACAGAAGAACAACAGATTTAAAAATCAATTTGTCATTTAATGAAATCAAACTGACATTAAACAAAACATGTCCAGGCATAGTCATCAAAGATAAGTGCCTATAAGTTCAGAGAAGCCCATAAATTTTCCATGTTGAACCTTGACAAATTACTACTCCGGGAAAAAAAAAAAAAAAAAAACAAGGCAAGCAATATAATTAATTACAAGACAGTGACTAGAGATGATAACAAAAGTTTTGATAAATTTTGGGAAAATTTTTATCAGCTGAACTTTTTTGAGAACAAATTTAACACGAACCAATGATGATAAGAAACAATTGGAATTGAAAAGAGAATACGAAAGCCTACGAATAAACGAAATGTTGCTATTAGATAATGCTCATTCCACCCGGAGGCAATATATCAAGTTTGAAATAGAAGCATACCAATTTGCATACAATGTAATTTGGTTATATAAAGTCAAATCTTTATTTACAGCAATATCTTAAATTAAAAAAGTAAACAACTTCTATGTCGAAAATTTCGAGAATCTTTCAAAATTTTTGCCCAAATGTTCTACCTTTTCCGTTTGTTTCGACTATAAATCTAAATTTCACTTTATAGAGAGGAAAAAAAAAACAATATAAAGAAACAGAAAATGAATAAATAAAAATAATAACCAAAAAATCAACTCAGTTTGCCCATTTGATGTTTCCGGTACAATTCGGTCAATGAAAACAACGATGCGTCAATGATACCTGCAACCGTAAATGTACCACCAACCACAGCACAAATCTGAAATTTATATTCATATTCTATCTGAAAACAAATAATATAGTAACTGTGTTTATGAATTTGAAAATTATTCAGCGGAATATACAAAAATTAGAAATTTGCTTCAGATGTAGCATTGTGCTTCAAAGTTTTGTTCGGAAAGAAAAAAAAAATGGAATGGTTACTATTATAAGTTGACTTTGAACAAATCAAAAAGTATTCGGAAGTTTGGCTCATTAAAATTTATTTCCTTCAAAAGGATGGAAGATGATGTTTAAACAAGGTCGCGCATCATATAAAGAAAAGAAAGGAAAAAAAAAAGAACATACAGACGTGATAAATGTATAAAATGGTTGTCGTCTTTCGGTATATTTGATGGTAATTGGTTGTAATTCGTAACGGAACCATAAAGCAGGCATTACTTTACCGGAATAATGATATGTGACGTATTCTTTATGTGCATAGGTATATTGATAGCTGTATTTCTTGTTTCCAGTAATATCTTCATATACTGATGGTACTATCTAAGTCATATTTGAAGTAGCATAATGAAAAGAACCGAGAAATAAAATCATAGATGAAATTTTAGTTGAATTGAATTAGGCTAAGTCTAAGAAATCTTGCTCCTCTAATACAGAACACCAAACATAGTAATAGAAGTAATGAATTAGAAAAATAGAACTGTTACAGGAGAAGTAATAATAGAAGAGAATATCTAGAGAATCAAAAACACTAAGTACATGCCACGTACGTCATGGTAACACACGTTCTTACCTTTAGAACATAGTCATGGGTAAAACTTCCGTCGCTTTCAAGAGCTTCACGATTTTTTAATGGATTAAAACTTCCAAGGTTTTGAGATGTCTGTAAGACATACAATTTTTGGCATTAATATTTCTAAAAAAAATTAAATTTAAATGTAAAATATCCACAAAAACACTCTAATCTATTCTAACTCAATTCGTTTTACCTAATTTCAAGAAAGTTTCTTTCATTCAAATTTGATATTTTTAACACTAATTTCTTAAAGACAGCGTAAGTATCATTTAAAAAATATATCGTTCATTTATAAACGAAAAGCTAACCGAGACATCATCACCAAAAACAACTGAATGTATTGTATGTCGCATGTCATATGTTTCAGGTTGTGTATCAGCCGCATGAGTGCTTATATGGAAATTTCCTGGTACCTGTCGAATAGAAATACGTTGATTATTAATTTATGTATCCTCTCGTTCTTCTTTTACTCACCAATATGTTTAAAACTTTAATTTAAACATATGGAATTTTGTATCAACTAATTTTTATTGAATGAAATAAGTCCACTTTTTATTCGCTAAAATTATACGATATAAAGTCGTACCTTACTGATTTCAAATTTTCCTTCGAATCTACAACCACTGGTACCAATTGGTATTTTTTCGGTATTACGAACAAAACCAACTTCATGTCGTCCGTTATCATCTTGTATATCAATTCCTATGTCTAAAATTAAAATCTGTTAAAAGGATCTATGTTTTCATCCGAAAAACTAATTATATTTTTGGGTATGAATCAGGAATAACTCACAATAACATGACAAATATGGAAGTGAAATATTTAGTTGCACTTCAATTCGACCTTCTCGACCTGGATCATCCACAAATAATTCCGATCGACTGTAACAGAATGTTTTTGGAAATTTCTGTAAAATTTCAATCAAAATTTTGCAATGAACTATAATATTGTTCAAATTACTGAAATAGAAATATAAATGAAGAATTAGAAAAAGTTATAATTCATAAAGTACTAACAAATAAAAGCAGCTTCTAAGTAGTAGGATTTGAGAGCAAAAATGATTATTACGATGGAAAAGTAAATTGTATAAAAATAATGTTTATGAATGAAGTTTAGTTGTTGTATCAGTTAGCATAGAGGAAAGTTGTTGCTAAAATGAAGTACAAATTGCTATTGTTGCAGTTTCATTAATTACTATAAACTGAATTGTTAAATTAATTCGTAACAGTTCAAATAAATTGTTGATTAAATTCAACGTTGATTAAATTTAAATTGTTGATTAAATTCAATGAAATGGAAAGTTAATTAACGAAGCATACACTTCTAATGTAAGGAAGTTGAGCAAGTCATTGATTACCATAAACAATATGAATGATATGCAAACAACCGAAATGATTGCGCCAGTCGTTGTTGGCTGCGTCAAATCACGTGGCACTTTTCGATAGATGTCAAACCTAAATAATGAAATGTAGTATGTAATTCCATCACATGTCAATATCAGAAGTTCGTATGATAATTCAATTATAGGTGAAAGTTACTCATTTTCATTTGTGTTTTAATGTCGTAATAAACTGACTTAATTGTCACTTAATATCATTTGCTTTCTTTAAAATTAAAATAAATTGAAAATAAGCACCAATGGTACAAGTTTCTGATTTGCTGAAATTGATAAAAATTAGGAATTTTTAGAGGAAGAAGGAAAGAAAGGTCAGCGAGCAATTTTTGATTTTTTCTAGATGAATTATGAATGAAATCATTGAAAATTTTTAACTAAAAAGTGCATAAATCAAACTAATTGATATCAAAAAGGTTCTAACACAACCAAAAAGCATATCAAGCAAGCAAAACGATAAAGAAATGAAATTCGAATTTTAAAATAAATGGTTTAAAATTACGATGAAGATATCAATAGTAAATATTATCAAAATTGATCATTCTTCATGTATAGTTTCAGCTATTTACATTCTCTAATCTTAGGTATTACAAGTCCTTCTGCTGAATAACCTTCTTTACTCAAAATTGACCTTTGAACAGAAGCCAAATATCACAAGCAATAAAGCAATACGCGATTAATAAAGTCAAAATGACCACTAAAATCATTTGAAAGAAAGAAAATTTCTATTGAAGGGCAAATAGTGAATGTAGAATGCTTTTTCACAAGAAAATCTTTGAACGGTTTCACGAATTTTTGACTGGATTTAAGGAATGAATTAAGAAAACTTACCTGATATTTAAAAATTATTAATCACATTACTGAACACAAACTCTTATTCTCTACCTAAGTAATTATCTCAATTCCAACTACTGAAATGCTATGATAATTAGCAGTAAAAGTCATTCTCGATAGATTCAATGTTCATCTCTGATAAATCTGATATTGTAACTGGCATAAATGTAATTCTAATATTAGTAGTACCTTTTAATATCATACATGATTTGAAGCGAGAACGTAATGATTGTATCACGCAGCTGGTCGCAAATAAACACAGCTATAATATCAGAGAACAATCATCCAATTTGATCAAGACTGGAATTTTCTTCCTGTCAACTTTAGCATTGTAAACACAGGGGAAATCGATTTGCCAAATATTTGAAATAGACCGAAATAAGTAAGATGAAGATTTCACAAATTTTGTGAATAAATGCATAACACATTATGAATCGATCAAAAAGATGAAGTCATAGTTGACAAAGTTCACAGTAGCAAATGTACGACAGTTTGCTTCAGATACATTTATTGACAAATATTTATACTACCCAGTCAATAAAGCTAACGATCCTGACAGTATGAATCATTCGGTAATTCTTACCTCTGCAGCACAAAGAGTGGTAAGCAAGCGAATCATTCGTAAAATCTAAATAGGTCAAAGATCTGTTTAACATTTGACTAAACACAAATGTAATCTCTGTTAGAGGTAGTGAGAAAGTTGCAAATAAATTTTGATAAAATTAACTGAATGGAACGGTAATTGGAATTCATTTTGAAAACATATTTTTTTATTAAATTTATTATCAAAAAGTAGTTACAATAACAAAACATTACAAAATGACAGCTTTGCCAGTATGATAAATGGCAAAGCATAAAGATGAATCAAAAACAATTGCTCCGCTTTTATTTTAAAGGAAAAATGAAAGAAAGAAATTTTGATTATAAAATGGATCATTTTGAATTCGAACTACTCTCGAAGATATCAAACGATGAAGGACATAAAAATGTGACAAAACCAATATAAATTAGACTTTTGAATAGTTAGAGGAAGAAAAAAATAACGTGAGAAAACATATTGATTAGAGTAAATTGTTTATTTCCCTTCTCGTACTCCAAATCAGCTCAAACTGTTATGCAATAATTGCACAGTCCCGAACTTACTTTTGTTATTTGCAAGATTTTACCGAATCAATAATAATGTCAAGAAATACAGGGAACACTTATAAGTGATTGTTTGTCGTGATATTGAAATTGCAGTACTGCCATAATGGTAGACATAACGAGGTAAATAATAAAGGTAACACGGATAAATGCAGTGATGATAATATGGTGTATCTATCACCTTGCTAATTTAAGATAAGAAAGTAAAATTTTAGTCTTTCATGTAGCCGAATTACTTTAATGGGTGAACACCAATCTGAGCATACTATTGGTCGTAGTAATTTAACCAACAACGATGACAAAAAAGTGAACGAACTGTGTGTGTGTGTGTGTGTGTGTATGTGTGTGTGTGTGTGTGTGTGTGTCTGTGTGTGTATGTGTGTGTGTGTGTGTGTGTGTGTGTGTGTGTGTATGTGTGTGTGTGTGTGTATGTGTGTGTATGCATGTGTGTGGTGTATGTATATGAACAGTTAAAATTAAAATAAATTAAAATCAAATTTATCACCGAAAAAACGGCAAATGTTCCGATTTACAATAATGCGTTCTCATAACTCAGTCAGTACAATCATTGATTTTTTAAAGATTTGAAATGAATTATTGTAAGGTGCAACTTCTGAGAGATGTAAAAAATGCAAGAAATCGATTATTTTCTATTTCGTGGGAAATCATAGCACTAGAATAGTATTCAATGTATAATATAGAATTGTATGGAATAGTTACCCTAAAATATGGTTAATATTCTTGGATTTGGGCAGGGAAGAAATTTATGAAATGTTTAACACAAGTAAAAGAGAAGAAAAAAACATTAATTTGCCACTTTCATGTACTAAAATATAGCGTATCTTTACAACAATTACTTTAATGGGTGGAAATGGAACCGATTATGGTACACTTTCAAAAACTATGAAAAAAATAAGCTTTGCATCATTTGAATATACGAATGAAAAAGAAGTGGGAAACTTTTTCGGATCGAAATCTTTAAGCCCTAAAATCTCTGCGGCAAATAGTCTTCAGGATCATTGACAATGAACCGACAAATATTCCGCCATTCATTCCGTCTACTTACTGCACTGCTCGCCGCACGACATTTCATAGCATCACGCAAACGGACAGAATGGATCGATCAAATGATGCCACTTTTCTTTTTTTAAAATGACGAAGTGGAGAAAGTAGCTTTCTGTCCTCAATTTGTCGACATGTTTTGTTGTAAATTTTATTTTTCTCCTTTAAATTCGAAAAATTTTATGAGTGAGAATTGAACTTGGCTCGATTATTTCTTCTTTCAAATTCTTTTTTTTTTTTTTTTTTTTTTAAAATTTTATTGAAACAAAAGGCTACAAACGATGTACAATAAAAATATAATAATAATATAAACAGGAGAGATAACCAACTATAATATGACGGTGTATAATTTACCATTATTTCTAGCAAATAACAATGCAATATTTTTATGAGATCAAGAAGCGATCAAAAGGGCAAATATGTTTGGAAAATAAAAATAAGAATGTAAGAAAGCACAGCTAAAAAATGTTACAAATTTAAAGACTGCATAAATTGAAGGCTAAAAGTCAAGAAATTTCCATATGAATTTCATAAAATCTTTCATCTTTCAATTATTTTTCTTTTTTTTTTTTCATTTCTCCAAAACAAAACTTTTTTAAAGCTGTTTTTCCAAAGAAAAAAAAAAAGATGGGAAAGTGCTTAAAACAATGACAAAATTCATTCAAAAAACAAAAACGAAAATTTTTTCTTGCAATTTGTGTATACGAATTTAAAAGAATTAATTAAATTTGCAAATGATTTGAAAGGAAATTTAAGAAATTAAAAATGAAAAAAAAAAAAATGAAGCAAAAGTGAATGCATAGACGAATTGTTGTGTACACAGTGGTTTAGAATGAACTAATCCGCTGCTACTGCTGCTCATACGTAGATCAGCTACCGATGTGATCGATACGATGAACGATTCGAAGTAAAGAAGTGAAGTGAAGATCGTCCTCGACCTGAATAATACACTACTACTCATATTCCTCGTTAAATACATTCAATACATCATCATTTGTTGTAGAAATCCATCGATAGTTCAGTCGTTTTGTTAAGCCATATTCAATATTTAAAATTTCAAAACTTCAAATTTTTAAATAAATATATTGAAATTAAGAAGGTAACTTGAATTTATATGTATGATTGAACAAAGAAACAACAACTATTATAAAATAGCACACGAAAATCAATCGAATTTAATAAATGAGATTTTTTGCAAAAAAAAAAAAAAAACATTTATTAATTATTCATAAGCATAAGATGATTAGATGTAAATGACAGTTTGTTGAAAACAAATTTTTGAACTAACATTAACTAATATTTTCTGAGCAATCATTGTGGTTCGAAATCTGAAAACAATGATATTTTCATGGTATTTGTACTTATATAAATTGCATGTGCGTGATATACGTGTAATTAGTATTTTGTATTTGAAATGAAGTATATAACACAATGAATGAGCTTTAAAGCTTAATATATTGAAAGCAGTTTTTTTTTCAGCCTAAAGGGCCTAAAAAAGGCTGCTTGGAACATTTGTCCCAAATGTTCCAAGCAGCATGATGATTTGTAGGCTAAGTTCCTACAAATCATCATGCAGTTAGTTTAGTTTAGCAAACAACTTTCACCCTCTCAACTCTTTATTTATCTCTTAAAGAACTATTTGGCAATAAGCCACCAAAAAAAAAAAAAATTTTTGACATTAAAACTCTCTTCCTTACTGAATTATTTCTCATTCTCTGTCTTGAAATGGTTCTAAAAATCTTAAGAGTCACTTCATATCTAGTATTAAATTTCTATCACTGCTTCATCTGCACTATTATTATCTAGGCCTCCCTTATCTCTCATCCTCTTTTTGGCCAGAAACAAAACTTTGTGGCCAAAAATAGAGAGAGAGAGAGAGAGAGAGGGACGACATTCCCAACAGTTCTTTTCTTCCTTCCTTCCTCCATTTCTTTTCAAGTTTCTTCTTTATCTAACATCCTGTACCATTAGTCCAATTTCAATGGAAGAATAAAATATACATATTGTCAGGCCTTAAACTCATTCATTCATCCTTCTTCTTTGCCTATAGCTTGAACGCCATGAGCGAAAACAAACTTGAAAGCATACATAAGCAACAAACCTTTAAACCTCCTACAATTCCCCAAAGAGAGCACTCATTGACATCGGCTTTATCCATTGATCCTTTATAAACTTTTTTATTTTTTATTTTTTGCCACTTATTATTTATTGTTGTATTAAAGTTATTCTATAAATCCTTGTGTGTGTGTGTGTGTGTTTCTTATCACTCTCTTATCACAGAAATAATCATTTCCTTTATTTGATACAATAGTTTTGGAGAATTTTTTTCCGTAATATTACTTGTAAAAAAACTTTTTTTTTAATTGAAAAATGATTTGCATAATTTCGACAATCATAAAATTGCAGGTGCTTTTTTTCTTTGATGGTTAAAAAAATGTTATTAAAAAAGATCAGATAATTCAAATTCATCCTTTCATCGCATAAATTTATTAACAACCCTTAATTTATAACTTTTTCTTTCTTTAAAAAAAAAAAAAAAAAAAAAAAAAAAAAAACAAAATTCTAAAGTGAAGATAATAGAGACAGCAAATAAATCACTATATATTCGCCATGGTACCCAAGAGATTCATTTTCGACTATCGTATAACTAACCGACCATTCAAAAGATTTACTGTGACTTGTACTTCCATAAATAATAAAAATTGTTGATATATTTGTATGATGAAAGGATGTTATGGATTACTCAATTTTTTTCAACAATATTTTGGTTTGAAATCATTTGTCTGCTAAATGGATCATCGGTTTTGCTCTCTTTTTCAAATTTCATTTTTATTTTATTTCTTATCACATAGGTAATCACTCAGCACTGGCAACTTTGATAGTCTTGATAAGATAGGAAATGAGGAACGATTGTATTATGATATAGTTTATATGGAAGGGGCATAATTCAAACCTTTTTAATTGAATTGAATCCATAAAAGTAAATAAACAAACCAAACTA